GAGCTGTTACAAATTTTTCTTTCAGCTTATTCCAATGTTTAATAACTCTCAAACTGTAAAATCTTTTTTTTATTGTTCCAACCTTTTATTTGAAAAACTTGCACTGGGCACTTTTTTGTTTCTATTTTCTGTAAATTGGAAGAATAGGGTTGAATCTACCTCATCTTTACCTGTTATGATTTTGTATGCCTGAATGAGATCTCCTCTACTCCTACGTCTGTCCAAAAATGTCAGTCCACATCTTTTCAATCTTTACTTATATAAAAGTTTTTCACAATTGTTAATCATCCGAGTTGCCCGTCTTTGAACTTTTTCCAACACTTCTTTTTTTTGCCAGTTTGGACTCCATGCCAGTATGCAGTATTCTTATAGTCAACGTTTAATATAGATTCAACATGCCAAGCGTATTGTTTGCTTCTTTTGCTGCTTCTAAGCGTTGCCTGGTAGGTTTCCTACTTTTGTCAACAATTATTCCAAGATCCCTTTCTTTCGATGAAACCTTTAGAGGCCCGTCTCCAAATTCTAATGTTTTGCATGTTTTTTGATGAATTTAAATCAAATTACAGAATAAAATTAATATTGTTTTAATTGATTTTAATGTAATTTTTAAAAAAGTCAAAATTTCTAAAAGAAATTCCCAATTAATCTTCAAAACAAGCCCACGGAACAAGTAACATAGCACAACGGCAAATATTTTTTCTATCAGAAATGCACGGCCAATACACCGCTGTTAAAAACTGCGTGCTAGCAATCATTTAAATGTCATTTTTTATTATCTGTATTGTTTTGGTTCATATACACACACGCACACACACATACGCACACACACACACAAAACTACACATATATATGCAAACACACACACTCACATAAACACAAAAATACATACATATAGCAATCTATACTCATATAAACACACTTATAAACACACACATAAACACACCAATTCATACAAAAATACATACACACACACATGTACACGCACACACATATCACGCAAACACACACGTACACAAACACACCTCTCCATCCATCTGATATCCCAGTTGCATACTTATTAATAAAACTTTGAAAGATGTTAATTATTGTTTAGGGCTGAAACTTGTTGTTTAAAAAGAGTTCATAAGAAAATTGATAAATAATTATGATACAAATCACAAAAACAACAATAATAAAAGTAATAATGATTATTAAACAATTATTATTATTATTAAACAAAAATATTGACATTTTTTTGTTATTTTTTTCTCACGACCAAGTTCAATTATAAGGCGAGTTCTTCTAAAGCTCTGTAGTTATCAGTAATTGATATCCAGCTATGTAAGTGTGTTTGTGTGTGTGTGTGTGTATGTTTATGTGTGCGCGCGTGTGTGTGTGTGTGCGGCGTACTAGGTTTTTTTATTAAAATTGTTTATTTAATATAACAGCGGAATTGAAATTTATATATACTAATATAAATAAACAATTTATTAAGTCGAGTTAATAATGAGATTTTGTGTGTGTATGTTTGTGTGTGTGTGTGTGTGTGTGTGTGTACGTTTTTGTGTATGTGTATGTGTGTGTATATACTAATTTTTTTCTGATATATGACAAATTCATTTTTGAAAGTAATAAATTGCGTTGACTAATGAAAATAAGTTTTCTCTTTGATAGCATGATAATTTTTGGCTTAATTTAACCATCTAATCTCAATAGTGTTTTTCATAATCTACCTCTATGTCTTTTTTCAATTTTCAATTATGTGCCTGACTCTATGTTTCTTAAACTTAATCCTTCTAAATTTGAATTAATTTGTTTTAATTAATGTAAACGCTCTATTACTATATTTCTAGTATCTTACTCTTGATGTTTCTCACAAGTTTCGTAGTTTAGGCTTTATATTTAATTCTAGTATGTCTCTTTTTTCTCAGATTGATAGTGTTGCCAGAAGTTCTTACTTTCATCTACGTAGAATAAAAAAACTTTTGCCTTTTCTTGACAATCCTTCTCTTCACCTTCTAGTTACTTCTTTAGTTTTATCTAGGATTGATTATTGTAACTCGCTCTACTATGGTCTTCCTGACTCTACACTCTATCTTTTAAGTATAGCTTTAACTCAGCTGCTCGTATAGTTGCTCGTGCCCTTTTCTTTCCTCATGTATCTCCATATCTTGTTCTCTTGCACTGGCTACCTATAAAATATAGAATAATTTTTAAAATTCGCACATTAACATATGAGTCTCAATCTAAAATATTTCCTAAGTACCTATCAGATATATTAATTGCACCTAAACGCGCCAGTTTACAATCGTCTTCTCACGTATCCTTAACTCGTGTTAAACTTTCTTTCGATAAATTCGCATTTGTTTTTCTCGCCCTTCTCACTGGAACTCTCTCTGATGATGACGTGAATAATTACAAGTTGAAGGTCATTTCTCCTCTCCAATGCTCAAGGGTTATGGAAATGATGGGGCCAATGACGATGAAAAAGATAGTGTGTGCGTTTGTATGTGCGTGTGTG